AATCACAATTAAAAAATATTTTTTATATGGAGATACTCTAATTAATAAAACAGTTAAAAAAATTTATGCAGATCACATTTTATCAATTTTAATATTTAATTTTGAATTGAATTGTGTGTAATTATTGATTAAAAATAATGAAGTTATAAAGATTCTAAAATAAAAAAAAATTATATACAGTGCAATATATTTTTGGGACTTTAATTATAAAAGTAATGAATCACATGAGTGCACTTAATTTTTACCACTTTAATGATTATTTTTAAAACTTTTGTAAGTTATTTTATAATTAAAAAAATTATCACTATTGTTAGTATGTTTATCACATTTGTGATAATTATTTTTAATATTTTTTTTTTGTAAAAACAAAGTTATCATATTTATGAATATTTTTACCACTATTATAGTAACTATTTTTATCATTTTTTGGGATACCACAATAATAGTAAAATGTCTGCCAAATGTGGTAAAAATAACCATAAATATGATAAATGGAGGTATGATACTGAATTTTTTTTTTCTGGTACTATAGTCAAATCCTAAATTTGGATTTAAATTAATTCGTACAGATAGTTAAGTGGTGTGACACTGGACTTAGACGAACCGTAGATCCTAACATCAAGAGTTCGATCCGCACTAATTTCTCTTAGACTTAACTAATACTTATAACTTATAGGTAACTGTAAGTATTTGACATTTACTCGCGCAGTTATGCATTCAAAGTAACCCAACCTCGAAGAGGTTCCTTGTTACTAAACCAAACCTAGAGTGAGAATTTTAAGGCTCATATTTGGTTGTTATCATCCCTATAAATTTTGGACACAAAACTTCAAACAAATTTTGAGTCAAAAATCAACACAAACTCAATCATTGAATTTTTTTTTTTTTTTGGTGAATTTGAGTCAAAAAGTTAGATGACAAATTTCAATGCAATTTCGTCGTACTACGAGAATTGTGTGATTAAAATTTGAGCATATAATTATGAAAATTATGAGAACCAATCTTATTAAGTGTATGATTTATATTGTTCTAATTTAGAACACCATTTATGGAGAATCAATGGTTGGCTTAATGACCACCGTAACATACCGTTAGACCTTTACATCACGGTTCAAATTTTACCTCTCTCTCTCTCTTAACAATTCAAAATAGTGATCAAAAAAAAAAAGAACAATATTTACCCCTTTGTTTTTTTATCTAAGTCTCCTAAATTCATATTACATTTTCATGGAATTTAGGTTAAGAAGGCCAAAAAAAAACTTTATGAATCCTTTTTCAACTTATCCGATCCTTTTTTCAACTTATTCACACTACTTTTCTACGTGTCCCTTTTTACATCAATCCCTTTTGAAAAAGTTGCTGCACTATTTTGACCATTGAACTGTTTTTTATTTAAATCTTTTTTATCAACAAAACCTTTTCTTCTTTGACTTCGTCATGAAAATATTACACAAGTATTGGATACAAACCAACTAGTCAAAAATTATGAGCATACATTATATACAAATTTTATGTCATCAAAAAAGCTCAAATTTCACAATGATTGTCTTATCCTTTATTTCATCGACCGTGTGTGTGGGTTATTAATGGTTGATTTTTCTTCTAAGACTTTATGGAGTTTCATACACTCTAATATATTTTTTTTTAAATATTTCTTAGCGAATCACTTACCATGTATTCAGACGAGGCCTATAATGTATAAATAAGTCTCTCACTTATTAATGGTGAATGGTCATTCAAGAAGAGATTTAAAGAACAAATGTATTAAAAAAATCTACATCCCCATATTTTATTTCTTATTCTTGAGCAATTTTCTGTGTTTGTCTTTAACGCCAAAATTCGAATATAATGTGGGCTGCAAAGACTTTCAAACTTCTGCTCTCTATCTCAACTTCTCTTTAAATGTGAATAATAAATGTGATGTTGATTTAGAGAATTTAAATGTCTATATATAAGTTACGACAGAAACACTAAAGAACAATAAAAACCAAACTTCTAATAAGCCTAAGATTCACATGTTCAACCCAGAACAAACACTCTATAGTCCATTAATAATAAGTAAGTCTATTAAAAAATTATTAATAATCTCCTATATTTTATTTCAAAATTATATTTCAAATTTCTTATTATTATATATTTAATAATTCCTTCCATTATAGGACTGCTTACATGTCCCACTCACCTTTTTGTTTTTGAAATCATTGAAGGTATTAAAGTGTTGTAGCCTATTGTTTTTGTTGTTTTCGGGATCCGACTGCCATGGCCTCTTAAATGTCATAAAAAAAATATCAAATGCATGAGAAAAACAATTTGAAGCTATTGAAGTCAAAATTGGCATCTTAGGTCAAACAATAATACGAACGAATTATAAATTTAAATATTTTATGTCTAAATTTTGGTAATTTATTAGGATCATAAAAAAATTATCTTTTATGAATACCTTAATTTTAATATGGATGACATGTCTTTAACTAGATCGAGAAAAAAATGAATACATATGCACATAAATTAACTTAAACATCTATAACCGTTGAAGAAAAAAAAAGGGTAGGTGGGAATAAGGTCAATATGTTCTATTTTTTTGGATACTCAAAGGAAAGATCAAAGAAGATTCATATTAGCCTATTCCCAATTACGCCTCTTGAAAAAATATAGATTCATTATACAATTTTTTTTTGACAATTACTTTAAAAAGGACATAAGGGAAATGATTTTTAAAGAAATTAAAATTGGTTATAGCGATATGATAAAATTAGAACAAAAAATAGTATTAATTGAGTTAAAAAATTTATGAAAATGCATTATAAAAAAAATAGAACTTAATTTTTAATATAAACATGATAAGATCTAAGATTTTTTTTTAATTTTTTATTTTGGGTAAAGAAGAGAGAGATCTAAAATTGATGGCATTGTCTCTCAACAAACTTTCATAATAAAACCAACCACCTTTTGAAGCTTAGTTGACTCATGACTTTGTTCTGGTCGAGGATTGAGCTCAGTACAGTCTGTATAAACTATTTGAATCTCGTATCTACCCACATATTGGTGCCTCGTTATGATACAAACCACTTAAAAACAATCGACTGAATCCGTTTGACTTAATAAATAGAGAAAATTTTATTTACACCTCTTATAAATTATCTTATCTTCAAACAGACCCCTTATATTATATAAAATTTCACTACATTTCCTTCTAATTTATATGTTTTTGTCGTTCACACCCTCGCCGTGAATCAACGTTATTGACAAATTTAAAATTGCTGATGTCATATAAACTTTTTTTCTCACTACCTATAGTATCATTACTCTCTCCCTCGTTACACATAAAATTGTGACACACACCCATACCAACCACACTAGTAACCCACTTACAGCACACACCCAACATACAATTACAGCACTACACTAATGACCCACCAAGAAGATACCACCTTAATCACCTAGTCTCTTTCCACCACGACGACTAAGGGGGTTTAAATTTTTGATCGTGGCCGGTCGCAAAAATCGGATAAGAATACAAAAATGTTTTTGGTCTTTTGATTAAATCAGGTAGAAATACAGAATATTCATCAATTTTCGCATTCCTACTTTATCCTACCCACAAAAAATATATTTAACTTTTTTATATTTATAAGAGTATTTGTGTGGTATAGTTTATATTATAACATTGTTATTATTGTGGATGTTTGAGTTGATAAAACATAAATTTATTTTTTGTGTAGGTTACATGATTTGTGGTGAACTGATGATCTATTAGAACAATCATGATTTTAATATATTTCATATGGTTTAAACTTAAAATAATTATTATTATATTTGTGTAACAATTATGATAGATTGATGTTCATGTTTTCTTTATTTTATTATAATTGTTGTTGTAGTTGTTTTAGATTTTAGTATTATTGATTTATTATGTTGTTAAATTAGTGCATGTTATATGATTGAATTGTTAAAATAATTCAAAAATTAATAGCGACAAAAATGTTTACCCGAATTTCTATCCAATTAATTGGGTAGAAAGTCGAGTAAGAATACCACACCTGATCGAGTAGGGTAAGTTAAGAAAAAATTATTTCGCAAAGTATCAGGCAGAGAAGACGAAATACTATATTTCCTATCCGTAGGGTAGAGTGAACACACCTAACCCCCTATACATATAACTGAATTTTATTATCAAATATATGCTATATTTAATTTTTTGACATGTAATGACATTATGATATTATAATACAAACAATAATTTACAATGACAAAAATTATAATATATTTAGATGTGCAAATACTCAATAATAAAAATCTTATAATCAAATTCCAGTATAAATTAAAGAGAAAATGTCTAAAAAAGTTAGGGAGATACCTAAAAAAATGACAAATTAGGTACTCAAAGAGGAGTAAATTAAATTACTAATTAGGTTTTATTATAAATATAATTTAATTTTTATAAAAAATATTATTTAAATATTCACGTGCAATACAAGTTATGCATTTTTAGTTTAGGTAAATACACATTTATGTGTGTTTTATATCTAGTCAAATACAATATACGAGTAAACATTTAAGTTTTGTAGGGGCAAAAGAATAAAAGAGTCACTTCCGATACCTCTATTTGGAGATAAACTCTGAATAGGGATATCAGTAAAGTTTCAAATAATATAGGCGATTTTTTTGAAGATACGAAATTTTAGAGGAATTGTGAATAAAACTTTATAAATTTTTTTAATAAATATAATAATACCCACAATTAGATATAGACTAGTGATCAGTACCAATACAGGGTAAGTTTATATCATCGCGAAAGCTAAATAAATGCATGTGCTAAAAAAAAAAAACCTATGTGTAATAACATTTTTTCTAGTATAAAGGTAATTGCCTTACCAATGCCACTGTATTTGTTTATAAGGATACCTAACCGTAGCTCCCAAAGCAACTTTGTCATCTTAAAATATGTCGATGGTTTCATAAATAGGCCTTTTGCCTTTCTGCAGAGCTGCTTCCTCTCCCTTCTTCTCTGCAAATTCACACTCAAGTATTGTGGGTCTGGTCCAAAAATCACAATGCAATAGAAGGTAATCAATCTCATATATTTCCGTTCTGTATTCAGTTTCTTCAACTGGTGGGTTTTTCCAGTTCAAAGAAACCCAAAAAAAGAAAAAAAAAAATGACAGGGTTTTCAGGAGGATGATTTTCCTTTATTGGTTTGTTTCAGTTGATGATTCTTCTTCTTCTTCTTGGTCTTCTTCTGGTACTGATTTTTTTATTATTATGCTTCTTTTTTTTCAGGGGCTAGTGTATGATAAGAAGCAGGTTTTCAAGTCAAGTGGGTTGGTAACCATGGCAACAGCTTCATGGCTTTCATCCCTTGAATGTTCTCCCTCTATCAATCAATCTTCAGACACTCTTTCACTTGTATTTCAATGGGTAGGCTTCATTTTTCTCTCTCCTTGTACCCAAAGAATCATCTGGTCGTCCGTTGACCTACTGTTGGTCTTCACCCTCATAGTGGTTGGAGCCCAAAAGCTGTTTTCTAAGTTTACCTCCAATGGCACTTCCACTACCAGCTCCTCCATTAATGAACACCTTCTTGGAACTGATAAGTCTCAATTTAGAGTCAGCCTTTGGTTCTACCTATCTCTACTTGTCACAGCTCTATTGGGCATATCTTATGCTGTTATCTGCATAATAGCCTTCAGTCAAGGGGTCAATTCACCATGGGGGATAGGAGAATCTTTGTTCAGGTTAGTTCAAGCAATAACCCAAGTTGTAATTTTGGTTCTTATTGCTCATGAGAAAAAGTTTGGAGCTATTTCTCATCCTCTGTCCCTCAGAATATATTGGGTTGCAAATTTTATTGTTCTGTGCTTATTCTCTGCTGGGGCTATCTTTCGGCTGATCTCTAATGGTGGAGATGTGAATCAATATGTCAAAATGGATGACATATTTTTCTTGGCTACTATTCCATTATCTGCTTTTCTTTTCATTGTTGCTATTAAGGGGTCATCTGGGATTAGCGTGGTTAGAGAATCTGAACTTAGTACAGACTTGAGAGCAGAAGGGTATGAACCCATTTCGACAGAAACCAATGAGAGTAGCTATGCTAAGGCTTCTTTGTTTTCTAAAGCAGTATGGCTTTGGTTGAATCCATTGCTAGATAAGGGATACAAATCCGCTCTAAAGATTGAAGAAGTCCCTACGCCTCCCCCGGATGATCGAGCCGAAAGATTGGCTGAGCTATTTGAGACCAATTGGCCAAAGCCAGGGGAGAGGTCAAAAAACCTTGTACTTACCACATTACTCCGGTGCTTCTGGAAGGACATGGTTTTCACCGGTTTCCTTGCCCTCCTGCGGTTAACCGTTACCTATGTTGGTCCAATGCTAATCCAGAGTTTTACAGATTTCACAGCTACGAAAAACCGCAACCTATTTAAAGGGTGTTATCTAATATTAATCCTCTGTTTGCTAAACTCATTGAAGCCCTCAGTTCACATCACTTCAATTTCTATTCTCAGAAACTTGGAATGCTTATTAGGACCAGTGTCATTACCGCTTTGTAAGAAAGGGCTCAGATTGTCTTGTTCCTCCAAGATCATGGGGTAGGACAGATTGT